TTTTTATATAAGTCTTTCTTTTTCTTCTTACCTCTGGGCACAGCACTTTTTGCTACATTGACATCTGACACAACTTTATCCTTGGAAATGGATGGAGAAGGGGAGACCAATTCACCACTGATACTATCAATATCTTCATTCCCAGATTTTAAAGCATCCTCAGAAAGGGATGGAACTGAAACAGGTGCAGGCTTCTGTTCAGAATACTTTGCAGCAGATATTTCTCTTGCATCATTAATCTTATGAGGTAAACTTATTGACACATCTGAATTATCAATCTTCTCATCCCGCACGGGTAAGCCAATAGCTGAAACAGAACTCACGTTATTCGGACCAACTGATGAGTGAGCAAGCACAGCAGGGTTAACATGTACACTAACATCATCTCCTCCTTTTTCTTGTGAATGTTCCAAAACATTAGAAGTGGGGGTTTTGACCTCCCGATCAGAGCTCTCCTCTACTTTACCTGCTTTTTTTGGAGATTCCAAAGAAAGTGACTTCACAGTTGTTTCAAGGCTACGGTGATGCGGCCTCGAGCTTTCAAATGTGGGTTCCCTTTCTTCATTTCCACCTACTGTCTCAGGCTTTGATTCTTTAGCGTCAGATACCAAACTAGATCCTGATGAAGCAGATTTTGTCTCAGCCTCGGGAAGTTGAGAAGGAAAACTTGATCGAGAGGTCAACAGACTGCCCACCTGAAAATATAATTAAAAATCATGCTCATATTCATGGAAGCTATGCTCAAAGTGTCCGATTAGGCCTAAAAGAAACTCCATGAGTTACCTGATCCTCCTGGCCAGTACCACCTATTATTTTATGTTTATCTTTGACAGAATCAGGCACAACCACTCCAACTCTTACATCCATAGAGGAGCTTGTTGAAGCTGATGCAGACCCATCCACGGGTACAGAAGCTGAAGCGTGGGCCCCATTTCTCTCCGTAAGGACAGGACCTGTTGAGGCAGCAGAAGCAGGTGTTGCTCCATAACCAGGTTTTGCCTGTTGTGAACTGCTCGATAACGAAGTGTTAGCTTCCTTATGAAGATCCTCACCGTGTAACCCAGAGGATTTTGAAGATTCTGCCTTCCCAACAGAAACTGAACTAGTCAATGCCAGTGTCTCCTTATCCCCATGGGAGCCAATGGGTGGTTTCACAGTAACCTGCACAAAACAAAGTGCAAAGCTAAATTTATCTGTCTATCAAAATAATACAACTACGATCAATAATAATTTTAAAGAAAGCAGTCAGAAAACCTGGTTATAGAGCCTTGGCGGCTGCGAAATGGGAGGAACCTGAGTGTTAGAGCTCGTGGCTGGGAAAAAGACAGAAGATGCACTATAGGAATTTGGGGGATAGAAGTTCATCGGCATATTAGGAGGAAATGAGGAAATAGGCTGTGACTGAGACTGCACATTCGGATGTAACCTTGGGTTGGGCAAACTGTCGAGCTTCAATTCCTCGTGAGTTTCCGGATGAGTAATTTTCACTGTCTTCCGCAAACCACTGTATTTTACAGGAGACTGCTGAGGGAACTGAGGGGGCATACTCATTCCAATACTGCCCAACTGAGGAGGTAGCTGAGGACCCATTTGTGGTGAAAAGTTGAAGCTCTGGCCCTGATGCATCATTCCCTGGGATTGCATAGGGTGTGGCTGGAGACCTGGAACAAACATCGAATGCTGTACTGGTGGGCTACCAATAGGCAAGGGCATTGGCATTGGCATTGGCAATGACGTTCCTGGTATGGCTTGAGACTGGATTTGTGGCACGGGAACTTGTGGCTGGTGAAACGGCAGTTGCATGGGCATATTCGGATGCAAAGAAGGCTTCTGAGTTTGAGTGGCAACAGGTGGTGGAGCTAAAACTTGGGAATTCCTCTTGGATTTCGGAACTTGCTGGCTTTCACCAGTATTCGGTCGATCAATCTTTTTCAAATGCTGATTGGGGACTGATGGAACAGGAGCTGCAGGAGTAGTTCGTAAAGACTCATGGCGAGCCTGCCACATGATATAAGAACATTACTTTTTCTCAGTCAAAAGGTACATATATGAATGTCAGATATCCTGCCCAAAAGGCAACAACGAATAAAGGAATCAATATTTATTCGTATTAATGCATCGCGCATCATCATCCTAACGAA